TGGTCCTTCTCTTTACTAGATTAGCCAAGCCCAGTTCCTGCAACCGTTCGTTGTATGTTTTAGCCTCCAGGTCCCTAATCATCCTGGTTGCTCTTCTCTGTACTTTTTCTAGAGTCTCAACATCTTTTTTATAGTGTGGTGACCAAAACTGGATGCAGTACTCTAGGTGTGATCTTACTAAGGCTTTATAGAGTGGTATTAGTACTTCCCTTGATCTTGATCGTATCCCTCTGTTAATACAATTTAGGATTGCATTAGCTTTTTTGGCAGCTGCTGCACACTGCTGGTTCATATTTAGGTGATCGTCCACTAAGACTTCAAGATCCCTCTCACAGCTACTGCTATTGAGCATGGTTTCACCCAGTCTATATGGGTACTTTTGGTTTTTCTTGCCTAAGTGTAGGACTTTACTTTTCTCTATATTGAATTTCATTTTATTAGATATGATCCAGTGTTCTAGTCTGTCAAGATCCATCTGGATCTTGAGCCTATCTTCTTGGGTGTTAGCTATTCCTGCCAGCTTAGTATCATCTGCAAATTTGGTAAGTTCCGCTTCTATTCCCATTTCATTAGGATCAAGATGATATACACATAAGGCTTTATATTATCAGAAATAACACAATGCTTCTCCGCATTGTGTTCAATTTAGTGTTCTAGAAAGGAGAGATAATTTTAAAAATAGTTTCTATGTTTATATTTTGCTTTTGAGAATCATAACATTTAAAACTTTACTGTGTTAATTTTATAAATATATTAGATTTGCTGGGGGGAAAAGGAAAGAAAAATAACTAATCATATTTTGTGAAAATATTTTCTTTTCAATGTTAAATAAAAGACATTTAACAACCCATGTTGTGAACTATCGTGTAACAGCTTGCCACATCCTGTTGAAGTGGCCTTTTATGTGTTGAGCAACAGAAAAAGTTCCTTTTTCAGGCCTGTGACAGGTAATGTGACTACATAACAAAGTGCTTCTCTTTCATTCTTGTGACCTTTTTGCGTTCAATCGTAAACTTTATGCATACTTTTTTTTTTAAAAAAAAGATGATGTCAGTGGAAAAGTGAGCATGAATATGGAAACTATCACATTGTAAAATTGGAAAATGTTTTGGGAAACTGTGGGTGTTAACTTGATAATTTCATCAGATAATACATATTTTTAAAAGATATGCAAAGCATTACTAGGAAGAACTGCTCACCTATAGGAATATTCTAGGTTGCAATAGGAATATTCTAGGCCAGGGGTCTCCAACCTTGGCAACTTTAAGCCTGGAAGATGTCAACTCTCAGAATTCTGGGAGTTGAAGTCCGCCAGGCTTAAAGTTGCTAAGATTGGAGACCCCTGTTCTAGGCTACAATGTTATATACCATTACTTAAAATAAGGTCCTTTGAATTAATTTGTGCTTACTGCTTGAGTTTACACACACACACACACACACACACACACACACACACACACACATATATACTATATATGATTGCATCATAATTGCTGCACATCAAAGTTTCTACTTGGAAATTTAATTTGGTCACAAATGTGTGGTATGATTTTCAACTTTTCGCTTCTCTTCCTTTGCCTGTAAATTAGCTCATTTGAAAAATCAATTTAACCTACATAGAAAAATATCTTATTCCCCAAAAGATGCTATTATCTATCACATTTGTCTCCAAATGGGGAAAGAAATCATGAATGGAAAAACATAGTACATAGGAAGATTTCTGAACCAAATAGGTTATTTCCAGCAGTTTGGAATCCAATGCTTTAGAAATAAAATAATCCCTTATTTTGGAATAAAGTAACCACAGTAAATATCATATAAATCGGTAAGAATTTACATTCTACATTCCACAAATGGTGTCATTAATAAAATGAATAAAGACATTGATGTCTTATTCTTTGATTTTGGATCCACTGGAAATGTACTAGAAAAATAGACATTAAAGTTAAATATTTTGTTTTCAACTTGACATGAATTACAATCCTACACACCTCCTTACCTTGGAACAATTCATTGAACTCAGTTGGATTTAGTTCTCAAGTTCTCTCCATAAGACTTCACATTAAATTTCTTTTTACTTTTGGACATTTCCTGAGGGAATGAATTCAGAACCACATTTTTATCAACGCCTGTGTATTGTCCTATTGGTTGTCCAAGGAGCACTGGTGCACACTTTGCATTAACAGGGATTTGATGTCCCAGCATTTTTCAAATTGTCCTCATTTACTTAGGACTAAGTTGTAATGGATGCAGGAAACCCTGCTTCCAAGTAGACATGGATACGATTGTTCTGTTCCTAGTGACAACCAGATACTTTGGTTGGCTAGGGTTCACAAATCAAAGCTTCATCACATACAGGGAGATAATTCATACTTTTTAAATCTGTTTGGCATGGAAGCTTATGGATTCCTCTTTGTGAGAGGAGTCCACAGGTGCTCAGTTTCTGGAATGGCAGTGGTAGCATGTAGTGGATATAAAGCGTCAACTCCTTCCGTGTGGAATTGGGTTAATATATTTCTGTAGGAGTAGGTAGAAGGAGCCATACACTAATTGGATTTCACAGCAGGCAAGATAATGAAACCAGCACTGGAAATAAAATATTTCCTCCCAGCTGCCGTTATTGGTGAAGGACACTGTAATCTGTCATTACAGTTTCCAATTCTATTCCAGGAGTGTTAATATTAACCACTGGTTAGTATGTGGCCCTTGCCCCCAATGTAACCAGCACCATGGAGAAGGAATTGGCTCTGTTTCCTGACAGACGTATGGACTTTTCAGATTTGATGAAGAAAGATTTCGACAGATATCTGGATCATATGCCAGATTAGTGGTTTCTTAAGCCTGACTGATGAAATATTCCCTTTGTTATGAACAGGAACCTTCCCCTTGTAAATAAATGAAGCTAGTCTAAGAGTCAATTTAGTACAGCTGCATTGCATGTTCATTCTCATATTACTGGTGTTGGTATAATGTGTTGGAAAATTGATTGTGAGCAGTCAGGGATTTTCCTGGTTTTGTTCAGTTTTCCCCTAATTGACTTTTGTTAGCAACTGTGTTTACTATAGCATACTTACCTACTAAACTACTCCTTTCTTTCCAGCTCTTCTGCATCTTTGGAGTACTGATGGCACATAAACTGGACGGGTACATAATGCAGGCGGTTATATTTGCGTTCCCATAAAACATAGTCTCTATTAACATTCCTTACAAGGTCCAGCATATTCCATGTATATGTGTGCGTGTGAGAGAGAGAGACAGTCTATGGTTGTTGGGTTTTTTTCATTAGATTGTCTGCCATGTTGTAATTTTGTCAATGTTATAATTTTCTAAGGTATCAAATCTTGGTCAGATGTGTAGATACACCACTATTGGGAATCTAATTTTGACCCAATCTGATAGAGGTCCAATGTTTAAGAGGTGGGTATCACAGCCGAGGCCAGGCTAAGAATTAGACTAGGTGGAGATGCAGGTCGTTATATTGGCAACTTGCGTGGGCAGTCAGATCCACCAGTTGTTCAAATTAATGCTGTAGAACAGCAGAGCTAATGAGGCTCAGCTCATTTCTCCAGTCATCCGGCTCAGCTTAGTTTAGAGCTGCAGTATCTTTTCTGGAGTTAAATGCAGGTTGTTATAAATGCCTTTTGCTGCAAACGGCTTTATTAATGTAAAGCCGCCTTACTCAACCATGGCGATTTTAAGATATGTGGATTTCAACTCCCTGGCTTGGGAATTCTGGGACATCTCAAATTTGCCAAGGTTGAGAAACTCCTTGTAAGTAAGTAGGGAAGACACCGCTCGTACAAGGTTTTTGAGAAGTTTGTAAATAAAATGGCAGATTCCAGGCCTCAGTATCTGTTCTCTCGTTGGCAATCTGAGATATCTGATTTAAGACCTTTCTATGAAAAATACTAAACCAATCCCACATGCTTTTATGAAAAGTTCAACAGTGCAAATCCGCAGTTCACGTGGATCCCTCTTGCATAAACACATGGAATTATCTGGATAGGAACGATCAACAGCTTTCAAACAAAGGGAAATATGGGCTTTCCCAGGATGGTTCCATGACGTGGGCATGTGTTTCCCCTTCCCCGGGATGTTAGGAAAGCTCTAAAGTGGTGACAGCCGTACTGATGACATTTTGCCTATCTCAGTGTCAATCAAGTCATGGCAGGGGCCGCCAGGAGATGAAAATAGAGGGATGTTGTGCAGCTCACTGTTGATGGCCTTTGCCAGGTTCAGTCATTTCCTGTTCATTTGCCAAAAATCACAAGTGCTAAATGGACATAACCAGAGTGTGGGAAACTACACAGCCCAAGAGGAGAGAAAAAGAACCACAAGTAACAATAATACTGTGCTATCAGTCAATGCAGGTTATGCTGTTATTACTATGTTCTCTCAAAATATTATATAGATAGAAACAATCCTGATGGACTTTTTTAAACGTATGCATGTGCAGTTGACCAGTAAGGAAAATCTATGTATTTTGTAAATACCATTTTCGACAAAGCAAAAACACCACTTTCAGTTCCTTCCTTCCCTCCCTCTTTCATCGGTTCTACTGTGGAAATATCAGTCTATGGAATCCCACTTAAAGAGTCTTACAATATTCAAGGATTCAGAACTGCACCCTCTAGTTTTGGGTATTATGCTTGCAACTTTGGCAGTTTATTTTCAGCAGATGAGTGTCTATATAGAAAGTGTGATATAATATTTGTGTTCAGAAACATTCCTAATATTTTCTTTTCTGTAAATAATAATGTAATGAATGCATTATTTTAGCCAAGACCCAAGTCCTACTTTTCTAATGGGATCCCTTATTTTGCATACAAATTAGTATGACTGTTTGGGACAATGTTATTCTTAGACCATTTGATAACTGTTGCTTGCTTAATGCCAGTTAGTCTGAAATGCCTTTAGCACACAAGAGTTGTTGGAAGAGTGTAATGAAATAATCTCTAATTCTGTTTCATTTTCTTTCTCTCTCTCTCTTTCTTTTGCAGTAAACGAAATAATAAGGAATGATCTTTCCAGCACCCATGTCCACTAACATGTGGCCAGCTGGAAGTTTAGCTGAGATATCCACATCAAATACTTGGAAGATAATCCCCAGTACCATTCTAGTCTTCCGTTTTATTGACTGTTTGGAGCAGACAATTACCTCTTCTCTTTGTCTATGCATATATTATATATATAAAGGAACTGGTTGACTTCAGCTATGAAATGCCTCCTTTTAAAAAATCATCTCAAAGAAAATGGAGGAAATGAATACAGCGTGAAGTATCTTATGGTTAAAATAGGAAATGTGATCAAACTGATAACCAATTTCAAAAACTGATTTTGTTTCTTTCGGGCTCTACTGGACAACAACTCTGGAAGTGCCTTATTTTGTTAGTTTGTGGCATCAGGGAATTGTACTGGCAGCGTTGAAGTCATTGCCATCCAAAGTATTTCTAGGCACAGAAACTGTCAATTGGTATAGATAGAAGAATCCTGTTGAATGTGTCTGGATTCCAGGTGTTTCCTCCCCCTCACCACCCAGTTTTCTCTCTTGAACTGTATTTGACATCCTGCTGCCTTATTCATGGTGCATTTTTAAAACCAAATTCTCCTCAGCTGTACATTTCCAGCCTGTCACATTTCTTTGCTTAGGTATTGTAGAACAGTTAGTGATAGTAGCATGTCAATATTTTGACTTCTCTTTGGTTTCAGCATAGCACAAGGTAACTGAACAGCACAAAATATTAAGGTTGATGGACAAAAACATTTGGAAAAAAATCTAACTTTTGCTCAACGAATTGATGTATATGCATGTAGCAACTTAGCATATACACATGCATATATATATGTATATGTGTGTGTTCACATACACAAACATATGTTTAGTATATTTAGCTACCTTTTAAAGGTTTTGAATTTAGCAATAATTTCTTCCTCCTAGGAATGCAGTTGAGATCCCAAGTTCTGTGTTGTGGAGTTGTTTTGTTTCAGGCAGTTATGTTCTTTTTTTCTTTTTTTCTTTTCGCTGATAAGCAAGCACTTTAGACAGTGAAGAAGGATGTGTATGAAATATGTATTAATTCCCAAATGACAAAGAATGAGTTAAAGCCATTGTAAATACCGCTACTGAAGAATGTAAAATATTTGTTCAGTTATAAGATGATTATTCCACTGAAGCCTTATAACTCTCTGCTAAATGTACAACAAATATTATCAAAACCAAATGTTTTAATATGCAACCCTGTATATCATGATTTCAGAATACAGTAGTTTCATGTTAATAGATACAAATAAACTTAAGCAAGTAATAATAGTGTTTAATATTGTATTTTGTACAACCATGTTACCATGTAGCTAGTATATTCATTCACATAAACAGATAACGCATGGCTTCATTTTTAAAGCATCTAACATTAATATTGTGCCTTAGGAAATATGTGTGACCTATGCCACAGTAATATAAGTGGCAACTAAGTGCAGTGTATAGTTAATGGAAATTCAACCGGTTTCACAAAAAGGTGAAACAGTCCTAACTATTTAGAAATATTACTCTGTACAATTTATGTCTTACTTCCTTTTTTTTTTTTTTAGAAAAAAAAGCCATATTTGTAACATTTGCACATTACTGTGAAAATATAAGGATATAATATGGCTGTATGTAAATATTATGTTAGTTGGCTGATTTTGCAACTGTTTAATAAACCATTTATCTTGTACTTAGCTTTGTAGGAGATGCATGCATATCTTCTAAATGTGATATCATGTATAGCTACAGCTAAACTTGTAGCTGGAAAAAAAATCCAATAAAGCACAACTTTCTGCAGAAAGCTACTTTTAGAGTGCTCTTTTTTATTTCTGGGTCAGAATGTTTCATGAAAGAATTATGTTTTTACATGCTAGGTTAATTTTTATTTTTATGCATTGTATCCCGCCTTTATTATTTTTACAAATAACATATCCAGCAGAAAACATATCCAACACACCTTCCTTCTCCTATTTTCCCCACAACAACCCCTGTGAGATGAGGTGGACTGAAAGAAATTGACTGGCCCAAGGCCACCAAGCTGGTTTTAAATGGCTGAGGTAGAATTTGAACACATGATCTCCTGCTTTCTAGTGTCTTACCCATTAGACCAAACTATCTATAGGTAGTCCTTGACTTACAACCATTTATTAAAGTAACAAATCAAAGTTACAACAGCACTAAAAACAGTGACTTATGACCGTTTTTATACTTATGAGCATTGAAACATCCCCGTGGTCACGTGATCAAAATTTAGGCACTTAGCAACTGGCAGATACTGTATTTATGACCATTGCACTGTCCTGGGGTCATATCATCACTATTTGTAACCTCCCAGCTGGCTTCTGACAAGCAAAGTCAATGGGGGAAGCCAGAATCTCTTACCAACTGCAGTGATTCACTTAACAACTGTGGCAAAAAAGGTCATAAAATGAGGTGTAACTCACTTAACAACTGCCTCACTTAAGCAGCAGAAATGGTGGGCTTCATTGTGATTGTAAGTTAACAAGCTGCATTTAGCTCTCTAAATAACTATTTTCTTCAGACTGCAGGCACTTCTATTTTTTAAATTATTTTCAGTCTGCTAAAAATAATAATTTTAAAAGTCATACAGAACTATTTCCACATAACTTCTATTCATTCATTAACAAAGAAACTTGTACGGAACTACAAGGTTTTGGAAATAGCTTGCCAACAGAACTGGTTTATTTTCATGTTTCTACATTTAAAATATGTATTTGCCAAGAAATAAATGGACATCTACTGTAATTCTCAGGTGTTCTGTTCTCTTACTTTTTTTTAAAGGTATATCAATTGCCAAAGAATTTTTGATTCGATACAGTAATATGTTGGGTGAGGTCCTGACCACACAAGCACAGTGTTTGATTTTGAACAAAAATCACACCAGAGTGTTTGATTTTCAACAAAATCAAATACATTCTTCACACAATGCCAAACCTCTGTCTGCGCCATTGTTTTTATTTACTTCTTTTATGCTGCTTTGGAGATCTATTACTTCCAAGTCTGACTCTAAAATACAATGCATCTCTTGTATATGCATTTAAGAATAAAAACTGATATATCTGAAATTCTACTCCATTGGGAATTTTACATTTATTTTCTGGTTAGTTTGAAAATCGAATGAATACCATATGTAACAAAATGAGGTGGGAACAAGGTGAAAGACTGAAAAGTGCCAATGCCATGAAAAATAATACATGCCTGTGGGATAAAGCCTATGTCTTTTGATAATTGCATGTAGAATTATTCAAGATTTGTACTACATGTTTTTCTAAACTCTACTGGCCAGTATGCTACTGCCTCCATTAATTGGTGCCCCGTTACTTGTTTCTTGAGGCTGAACTACCAAAGCTGAGCTGCAAAAATCCATATAACCACTAGATAGGAGGAGATACAGCCACGGTGGCACAGTGATTAGAGTGCAGTACTGCAGGCTACTTCTGCTGACTGCTGGTTGACTGCAATTTGGTAGATCTGTAAACCCCTTAGAGAGGGCTGAAAGCACTGAAGCAGTATATAAGTAAGTGCTATTGCTGTTGCTATAGACAATGCAAACACTTTGCTGCATTCTTATGGCCTTGTGAGTTTTTGCAGGCCTGATCTAGTCACCTTATTTGAGAAAAGCAAAATGCACTAACATCTCAAACTTCGTATCTGGCAAAAGTTGTAGATTATTTCTACATTAGCATTTTATACCAGGAATGAGCATCTTGCATGTCCAGGACCACATGAAAACCTACAGATTTCCTTTCTTGGATTTTTTTTCCAGAATTACTAAGCCAGTAATTTTCTCTGACCCCCACAATCAAAGTGTCCTCCAATTTTGAGGTCGGAAATTCATTAAATCTATGGCATAAAACCTAAACAATTAAAATTAAAAATAATTTCCCCCAAGGAAATATTAGGAAGTTTATTTTAAATGCTGGCATGCTGATATGCACAATATGTTTTCACACTCACTGTGCACCCCAAATCTTAAAAAGTAACTATCTCTGTTTTTTGTTCCCACGCCTCCAAGATGATTTTATAATTTGCAGAATCTTGGATTATGAGCACCAATTGCAACATGATACACATGCCCAAGTCACTCCCACCTATTCAGTGTGTTTCACATCCTGAATAATGCCTTGTAAGGAGAACAAAAATCCTAATTTTGATCCTACTGCTAAGACATAAACATACATTCAACCAGTACAAGTGCACAGCTGGACACACTAGTTGTTCCTCAAGAGTTGGCTTCCCACTTGATGTTCACACAGCACATAGCAGTGAAGACAAAATAGTAATAGGAAATGTTGGCTGAACAGCTGCATTCAGACATTTCTCATGATCAGGGCTTTGAGGCCTTGTAGATTAACTTGTTTTTCTATCATTCTAGGACAAAAATGTCCCAATTCTTTGAGTCTTGAAATCCTGCTAATGATCTGCATTTTAAAGCGCTTCAGTGCCAGCCAGCCAATTCCCATTAATAAAATTCTCTATACTCCATCAAGATCCAGCTGACAAAAATTCATTACATAATCTATGTTCTGCATGGTTGGGGAATGTAATATCAGTGGGAAAAGGAATACTCACGAACATATTTTGGAATACATTAATACCCAGATAGCTCCAGATATCTTTTAAATAAAATAGAATACATCGCAAAAAATAAGGTCCTAAATTAAGTTGGAGTGCCTGCAAAAGGTCTTGAGATCTTGGAGAACTATTATTACACAGTAGATAGCATCATAATGGATGGCACTATTAACAACTTTAAATTTGTTATTACTGCTGGTTTAATGTTTGATGTGTCTCCTGAATGTAACCATACTGGAATAGTTTTTTTTTTTATTTCAGGATTTGAATTACTTAATCAACACTGGCTATTATACATTCCAGTAGAAGATCCAGATTAAGCCTTAAAAAGATAGATATAATAATTATAAAGGGGATGAAACCAATCTCAGATGGGCTGAAGTCATACTGCCCTTGGGCCAAAGTCTTATATTTTTTTTAAGTTTGCTTATATACCATAAGTAATAACATGTTGGAGTTTAAATAATGTATATATAATTCCATATTGAACAGTTAGCATCCATAACCTTGGCAACTTTAAGATTTATGGACTTCAACTCCCAGAATTCCCCAGTTAGCCATTCTAGGAGTTGAAATTCACAGGTCATCAAGGTTGCACACCCTGGATCTATAAAAATGTATTATACTATCATTTTTTTAAAGGATCCATATCGGCAAAGGACCTATTTAAAGAACTGTTGAAATGCAACCCAGTCCTTTTTAATGCCATCTAAGAACTATTTCTATCCTTTAAGCATTGCTTGAAGTCTCATATTGTATTCTTTTATAAAATATTTTCATTTATTTTACCTGTTGGGTGCTAATGTATTCATTTATGAGAATAGATAAAATGTTTCATATCTACGAGACAATGTTAAATAAGCACGATCCAAGCTGAAATCTTCCTTATACCTGACATACTTCCTTTCTCAAGAAAAGCCAGACAACTGAGCAAGCAAGAAAAAAAAATTTTAAGACCCAATCATTAATGGTGATACCATAATTTTATGTCATCAAACAATATACAGGACTGGTTGTATTTAAAAGATCTAAATCACTTGTCTTTAACAAAGGGTAGCTACCTATAGGTCTGGTAATTGACCTAAAACCTTAACATTTCCCTTTCCGTTTTCCACACACCCTGTATCACAAGATTTAGGAATAATAAACATTCCATCCATTT